AAATATACAAATTTGAAATAAAGCATATCTAAATATATAAGTCAACGTGATAAATAAGAATATGTGAGAAATCTCGGATCAGAATTTCAGAATTTAGATTGGATAGGTACATTTCAATTGCGATCCAAATCTATCCTTCATTTTCATTCGTTCTTAGAGCATCACTAAGGGGTTCGCAAAATTTGTTGGAAAGTGTAATTTGCTAACTTACTTGACACTTTTTTGTACCTTTAAAGTTTATGACATTAACCCACTTTTCAACGGTTCTACCAACTCTTTAAATTTTTTTTTCCTTCTTATATATTATTGTTTTAAAGAAGTAGCAAGCTAATGTGATTGGGTGAATAAGTAAATAATACTTGCATTAAAATATATTGTGGGAACCGATTTGTCAAATTGAAAAGGTAACAACTCATCTTTGTATATTTTGAAAGATGAGTTATTACTTTTTATAATTTGCTACTTCTGTTAAAAATAGTTTTGTTCTGCATGAAATAGCAAGTTTAGTTTAACTTTGCTATTTCTGTCAAAAATACTTCTTTGAAAGTAGTTGGACATGCGTTATTATCTAATTAGTTGTTTGGGTAAAGTTACCTCCATTAGCCTCAGATAGTTTTGATTAGTTGGTTAAATGTATTTACTAAAATGAAGGATATAATTAAGGTACATATATTGTAGTGCATTATCTATCCATTGTATCCTTCATTTTGGTAGGCCAAAAATTTAGGAACATGTAGCTGCTATGGGCTTGAAGAATGAACCACTCTAAATAGTGGGCTTAGCTCAAGTAGCTACTCAGGAACTTCTAAGCAAGGCCCATTTCTCCTTCGCCGTCCACGGTGAGGTACGGACAATAAAACCAACTTTCTTCTCGCCATCCATCCATCATTTTCTCACTTTTATCCGCTAAATTTTGCAAAAACTAGTAGTTATTGTAAGTCTATTTGACTGAACTGTATAAAGGACAGAAAGGGAGAGGGGCCGGCGGCAACATAGAGAGAAGAGAGATCTAATTTTGAGGTATGTGTTGTATCACCCCTTTATGCTTTTATTTATGGTAGTAAGATACGTAGAATTCTTACCTTAATAGGATTACATCTGTAATAGGAAACTACTAAAGGGAATATTCAATACTCTTAGATACATTAAAATTTACACAATCATATTCCTAATTCAATAGGACTGCAACAGTAGTAGCTTTATAATTCACATTTTTGTGTTATTGATTAATTTGATGGACTTGAACCTCTATATCATGAATTTTTTTTCATGATGTTCGCTGTTTATTAAAGAACACAAGTGTGTTAACTGTATTGATAATAGGTCAATAAATTTATTAGTTGTAATGATATTTACTATTAGTCATTAAAAAAATGAATGTTTCATAGTTGGAGTATCTTTATCTATATCCTTTTATGCTATGGAACTTGCATCTTATCATCAATTGATTAAGATGCTTAATGAATGCGGGGTAGTAATTTGTTTCTTGTCATACTAATGTTGAGAGACGGATGCTCATGTCTATATTGCGAAATTATTTGACATAAAAGAAAAGGTTGTAGAACTGTAAATTTGAATACTAATGTAAATCAAATTGGGGAATGGATTGAAAATTAAGTCAAACCATACACATTAGGTAACAAGAATAAAACGGCAAAGCGCATAACCCACCATTTCAGAGAAAACAGCAAAGCACGTCAAACTCACTGTTGTGCCATGACATACAAGTATTTCGGCCAAAATCCATCTTTTCCAAGGTTTTATTAAGATTTTAGTTTTAGGGATGCTTTTGGTATTTTAAATAGGACGTTTATGTGTTAAGAATGTTATCTTTCAGTTGTCATTCAAAATTTTGAGATTTTCTCATACTTTTTACATGATTCTAGTGTACTTTTCTTTTAAGTTATCGTTTAATATCCTTTTTCTTTATTACGCTACGTCAAACACTCATTCAAAATAAAATAAATTTATTCAATATTCCATATAAATGCCAAATTATATTGCTAGAGAACATTCTCCATGAAACATAATTAGCACAATGACATTAATTCATAGCATGAACATCACCTTCCTTCATCTTTTTAGCTGATGTACAAATACAATACCCTTCTTAATTTCTGTACGAACCTATAATGCTGTCAATGTAGTTGGCTTGGCCCATGATGATATTAGCAACTACGTGCATCAAAATATACAATAAGACTTGCGATATGGTTTCCGTTCTTTCAGATTCTTTCATCAGCGAATAAATTAGGTAATTTCCTTCACCAACCTGCATGAATACTAGCCGTGTGGACAAAAAATACCATTTGCCTCACTATTATTTATGTAAATTCCTATGTTAGTCAACGGCCCACACTTCAGTAACTCAACTACTCACTGCATATTAGAAGCAATTTAACTCTACTGTATGACTCGTTTGAAAATACATTTAAAATGACTGAAAACACTTTTAATGAAAGTTTGGAACCAATCCTTAGTAAATATGAAAGTGAATCTTAGAAAAGCACTTCAAATGTTTTTGAAACCCAAATCAATTTTACCAAAAGTGTTTTCGCTCATTTTAAGAGTACTTCTAAACAAGCTAATAATCTACATATAAATATCAAGATAATACTTGTATTCCAACAGGAAATGCAAATATCCTACATTTGGTAAATAAGATATCTTCACCGTATAAATTCCATAATTGGAATTGAACATAAAGATTATCCTTACAAAAAATCATCTGAATCGAAAATCATTTAGAAGCTGAATGGTTCTGATTATCGAACGTATAGAGTGAATTACCATATTTGCAATATTCTCTCATCCTAATATGACATTTTCTTTGTCACCATGTTAATATGAACAATTGATCACACCAATTTATTTTAGAATGTATAACCGAATTGACAGTATGATAATAAAAACGTCTGTTTCACAATATAATTCTTAAAAAAAAATTTAAATAATAAATTAAAAAAAAAAAAAAACATTACTCACCAATATAATGCCGTCAAAGTTGGGCGTACCTGCTCATGTCAATCAGGAGATTTTCTCTCAAACATAAATACTGGGCCATGGAAGTGGTGTTCATTTCAAGATTTGGTGCAGCAAGTCAAAATTATGTACTAGAATTATTATGAACTTGTTTCTGGTTTGTTTGGACTGTAGACGTGTAGTGCTCAGAAATTAATATGCCAACAATTAACATGACCTGGTAAATTATACCTAACAAAGAACCATGCATTTACTACTACAACCATGCATATTTTTTTACAGAGGATTTCTGAATTTGGTCGCTGGAAATTTGCCTCTCCACATCATCAGTGACTCGTACTCGAATGGGTCGCCATGTAACCACTAAAATCAAATTTCGTTTTTTTTTTTTTTTTTTTGTGTTGGAAAGGGAAAAAAAAAATTGGTACAAGCAATGTTATACATTAAGGAGAGAAATAAGAGTTTGAATATGGAACATAGTGGGTTGAAGTGAAAGATTCTAACTAACATAACAATCCACTACTTGCAATGACATTTTTTATTCAATAAAGAAGGTTACAATCAGCTGAAGAATATAACCCGAAAAAAGATACTTGCAAGCAATAATCTAAAAGTACAAAAATAAAAATCAGAAATGTTACAACAATAAAAAGAAGATGAGGAAGATCGATAAAACTAATACATCCAATACTTCAAGTTCATGTGAGAGATTAAAATCTCGAAACGATTAGTTGTGCGATAGATCATAGAATCAAATTTCTTAACAATACTTTTTACGTATAAGTTTTTTGGTAATCTAATGAATTTTAAGCAATGTATTAGGAAAAAGTAGGTGTCCACCGGCAAGAAGCAAAGTAGGTACTTTTGTTTTTTTTTTTGGTTTTTTTTTGGAAACGAAGCAAAGTAGGTACTTTGTTGTAAAGGTCCTGCATGATTCCTGAAATAGAAAGCAGTGCTTACGTAGTGTTAGATAAATTGCTATATAAGGGGTGCATTAAGTCTTCCACACCTATATAGTCTTTTAGTTGTGTGACATCTCCACATTGATATTTGATGACCTTCACAACAAAACAAAAAGAAAGAGGAGGTTATTCTTTTAATCTTTGAAAAAAAAAGTTCTTAGAAAATGGGAACTACAGTTATCCATTATTTCTAGATCCAGAGTAAGTTAGTTGTAAATTGTACCATACTCATGACCAAAATCACACAGATTTACTGCTTACAAAATATCGAACTCAAGATCTCCCTTATTTTTAATTACACCAAATGCCGAAAATTTAATGAATATATTGCTACATTTTAATCTTTGAAACATTTTAAGATTTTAATATTTTATATTAATACATTTATGTATCATTTGTCGACAATTAGAAGTACATGATTGTGTAGCATTCTTCTAGAAACAATATTTCCCACTTGAGCCTTCCTCGGAGAAGAATCGTTTTTTTATAAGGTAATGTTAGAGAGATTATCTTTTTACACATAGAGCCATATTCAACTATATTTTAAAACAATTGTTCTTATTTTGCAAATAAAGGTGTTCCTTATCCTTGTTCAATTGGATGCCAATTTTGCCAACATTCCCACTTCCTATTGTTATTTTTTTATATATACAAATGATTTGATAATCTACACTAAATTCATTTAAACTATAAGCAAGAAAATAGTGTAAAGTTAAAAGAAAAGCTCCGTTTACCATTACAATTCACCACTTCCTAATCTTCCTCATTGTCATAATTTTGATTCCAATGTTCGATTAATCTCACTTTGACCAGTCATATAAATGGAAATGAGAGAGAGAGAGCTAAGAACCAAGGAGAAACCAAGCGAGATGGAGAGAGAAAATGAGAGTTGTTTATATTGAGAATGAATCTCACATTATGAAAAAAATGACCTTGCATGAACTTATAAGTTGCACTACTTCTCACATATTAATTTTATGGTGGAATCTCAACTTTCTTCAGTTTATTAATTAACTTCTCTTGTTTTTATACTTTGCCCCATCAAGATTCCATTCATATAATAAAACTTTGAAACCATTATTTACCATGTGATCTTACACTTGAAAAAAAAAAAGGCTTTTACTAAATCCTGTGCTCTTTTTTATCTTATCATCAACTTGCTGATAATTTTATAACTTAAGGTTTCAGGCACGACAACAACCCCACTATTCACAGGGTAGCAATTTTCACATTGTGAAGCTAGCCAGCTAAAGTGCCTATCTGAGACTTCCACAGTTGAAGAAGAGGAATAAATTGAGCCTCCCATTATTTCATATTAACTTAGGCTAGTTTTATATATCGACCTCTAGTCCTCTTTGCTATTTGGAAATTAAGACGTGCAATCATATAGACTCAACATTCCCTCATCAGATTAAAGATCATAATTATTGATCTTAACCGCTTGATGAATTTCTCCAAATCTCCTCAAGCTCTCTAGCAAAAGCTTTCTGTCTTCCGACCACGACAGTAATGTGATCTTTCTTCTCAATCACCATGACACGAGCCCGAGGAATTTTCGATTGCACGCTGTAGCTGCACTCGACCGGGATAAGTTCATCATCTTTTCCATGAAACACATTTACGTCGCATTTTAGATTGTCTCGGACAGCGTCTAGGTATTTCTCCATCTTGCCGGCGGTGCCACATATAATGTTGTGCAATGTGTGCCATGCTGCGTTATGGGTGTGACAGAAGAAACCTTCGAGCAAGAAAGTCCTTATTCTGTAGTGTACAAAAGAAAACGAATTCATTCACTATAAAAGTTGGCATATTTACCGATAACATTTAGGTACACTCTTTTTTCTTGTAAATTCAGAATTAATAACGCAGATGGACGCCACCTACCTATGTAAAAAATGTTAATATTTGAAGTATGTAATGCATGCATGGACAACCATGTTTGACATTGTAGTGTTCTCTACTTTCTACAACCAAGTCTAAACTTTCTCTTCGTATTTAGTTTTAATTAATATAAACTATTTCTTGTATTAGAAAAATAATATTTTGAAGTATGGTGCCTATACTTTTTTATTGAATCATCTGCCATACTGCAAGTATCGACTATTTAGTGACACGTGTCATTATTTGGTATGTTGGATGTAATTATCATTTAATGTATTGAATTATTAGCTTTATTAGAAGTTTGTTATGTTGTTAAGTGTGTTTGTGTGTGTATACCTAGGAAGGCGGGGGAGGGGGGAGGGGGAGGGGGGAGCGGGGAAGGGGTTGTTTTTTGGGGGGGGGGGGGGGGGGGGGGGGGGGGTGAGAGTACATAAGAGCGGAACCTAGATAGAATGCGGAGCTCCGGCCTGGCTGCCGATACAGCACTTTCATTTTTCCTTTTCAATCTCTCTATATCATCTTCTTCGGTACCAATCTTTCATGCTTAATTAACATCCACTCTTTTTTAGGTAACAACTTTTGCAGCAGCATTCTCCAGCATAATAAATGACCCGACAAAATTAAAGTCGAACTTCAAATTATCAGTCAGTCTCCATCGTTTTGTGACATTTGGTCTCATATATTTGACTCATGTCCCTCACTCAATGGAGAAGAAATATGAACTTGGACCCATCTTTAGATAGTCTTTTCTATTGCACTACCTTCCCTATTAAATTTAAAGGGCAGTGTTTACTTTTTGTTTTACTTTTTGGTGGGTCAAAAGGATGTGTTTACTTTTTGTTTCGTGGTGTAAAAATCAAAGTTACTATATGGTAGCCCAACCATCACATAAGCTGGTTGCCAGCATACAGTTACTGGTTACGTATGGGTGGGTTTAGGATGCATTGGCCACACTGTTGGACCAATCAATCTAACACACATAAAAAATCTAAAAAGTTGTCCCACAAGTACCGTTTTTAAGGTGGGGAAATTAATGGCAGATAAGAATAATATAACACGATTTGGTGTGTCTGAAAATAGGCTTTTTCGGTAATTGGGAATGGAACGCTACAATAATATTCTACAATGGACGGTGATGAACATTTACCTGTTTCTGGTGACAAGTTTGGTGAGAAATTCCACAAACCGGTGGTTCTTGCAAATGAGCAAACAAATGGTTCTTGAGATGTGCTCGTACCAGCAAGCAATGGAGGCGCCGAATGCAATCGCCGGCCACACCCGCCGCGGCGCCACCCTCCTCATCACGTATTGTGTTGCTTGTTCACCCTTTGGTATTGGGTAGTATGGCTGCCACGTCATATGTTAAGAAAAAAAATAAGTACAAATAAGAAAATTACTCAAATCTAGTTTAAAGCAAAAACTTGGCCCAAACAAGTCCACAAATAATAGCCCAAATAAATGTAAACCTTTATTGGATGTGATAACATAATACAACTGTTGAAGAATGTAAAACAATTAACTCGGTAATATTGTGGTTATGTCTAACGAAAATGATTTTTGCATATTTTTTTCTTATTTTCTGTGCAATTCTGTTTATTTCTGTCTTTTGATTGTTTTCGATGTATTCAATTAGATTGCCAAAAAAATAAACAGAAATAAAGAAAAAAAAACTGTGGTGAAATAAGTGCAAGTTTAAAACTACGCGGTTTTAAACTAGAATCTTATTGTAAGATTTGAGTGGGGTAAGGGTCATAGATATGTTTAAAAACTTACAGGTGCAAGTAAGGTGAGGGACTTGATGGAGGAAGGGTATTTAACAGCAAGAGCAAGGGCAATAATGCAACCCAAAGAATGAGCCACAATGTGGAAGGAATTAACTTTGTTGGGTTCAAGCACAGATCTTTCAATCATCTCCAAATGCTCTCTGAGCGTGTACATGGAGTCGGTTGGCTTTGGACTCCTCCCAAACCCTAACAGATCAATGGCAAAAAGCCTAAAACTTGATTTTGCAGCACTTGAAAAGTTCGGGAACAATGTCTCTGTCCAAAATGCTGATGATGAAATGAACCCATGTATGAATAGCACATCTTCTTGTCCCTTATACTCTGAAATCACTAAAATTAAATATAAAAAATGTCACATATATGTTCTTGTAGAGCTTATGAAAATGCAAAAATATATTTTAGGTTAATTACCTCTAGGTCCATCGGTTTTAACAAAAAGTGTTTCTTTGCAATTAGAGGTCCAAGATGTGCAAAATTTGCAATCACAATCCGACCACCTTGGGATCGGATGCAAATGCTGCCCTCCAATCTTTCCCTGAAGCATTTCAACAATGGTAGAGTTGACCGTGAAGGTGGATCTCACAGTTCCTTTCTTGATCACCTTCATGCTTAACTTTGAGACCTCGGACAAGAGCGAAGGGCGGGTGTAGAGCGTGTCCGAGATCTCCTCAAGCTGCAGCTTGGTTGAGCTAAGGCACACGATTTTTGACTCGCCTTGTTCTGAAACCAAGATTTTTCCACTACCGGTAATGGATTCCTTGGAGGAGGAGCAATAGCAAGGCTTCCATTCGGCTTCGATGAAAAAATCAGCAACCTTGTACACAAAACAAAGGATGAAATCCACAAGGTCGAGAACCGAAAACACAATGAAGCTCACAGCCTCGTTCATAACTCTTCCGACCAGCATTAAAAACGATTTGGTTTTCCTCATTGCAGCCATATGTAGCAAAGGTAACAAGGACCCAAAAAACGCACACACCAAACCCCTAATATTAGTGATGATGGATTAAATAGGGTTTAGGATTAGAGTGAGAAGAGTCTCAGTGTGCAGACTGCAATGCCATAGCTGAGAGCTCCTTGTTCCTCTGATCTCTCACTTAATAGAACACCCAATGGTTGAAATAAGAGAAGAAATATAGGAGGTAGGAGGTGGGGCAGCCTCACTTTCACTATCTACAAATGGCTGATGAAAGCAAACATGGGACAAACTTGCTCAATCTCCCTATCTGTAAGTTAAAAGAGAAAACCCCATGTTACATTTTATTAAAGCGTGTGGGAGAGTTGAAGCGAGAGAGAGAGAGAGAGAGAGAGAGAGAGAGAGAGAGAGAGAGAGGCATGGCTTGCATTGCAATGGCAATTGACAATCCAAGTTACCAACAGATGGGAGTTAAAGGTATTGATTGTTCATAAACATGGTCTGCTGGCCACGATAAAAGGTAGGTGGTAGTTGAACCCCCCTGGTATAGCAACAAATTCTCCTCAGCAAAGATTTGGTCTATACTTTTTGTATATATATCCAATGAAAATTTTGTTATATAATTATTTAATTAAATTAAATCAAAAATACCGATCGGCCAAGTTGTTTCTTCTATGAATCACAAACCCGTGCCACAAGAGAGGGGGAAGAAAAAATTAAAATGGTCACATTGCTTGCCCTTGAGGAATTCTAGGGTACAATTTTTTCCCATCCACTAGGTTACGACTCCTCCTTTGTAGCTCAAAGTTGCCCAACTCATTAATGTACCCTAAGACTTATTTATTTGTTTGAAAATGAAACTCCCAAACCTCTAATATTTATAGCATGCCGTACTCTAGACCACATGGCTTCCTAAACCAATAGGTAACAAACCTCCCTCCGCCGTCCTATGATCAAAGAAATTATTCAATCATTTTTGTTAATTGGTCTTGTTGAAATTGAGGCGCATATTATTTTGAAAACTCTTGTAATTCAAGTAATTAAGAGTGTTTATTCTTGTATATGTTCTATTTCTTGTTCACCAATTAATAATATCGGTTAAAAAGAAAGGAAAAAGTGCAAAAGCTGTATTTACAGGACTTTTCTATGCATGTCGATGGAAACAATTAGGAAGCTAACTGCTGGCTAGCACACCTGCACTGTATGGGGACTTAATGAAGTAAAGTACTCTTGGGAGCATCGATCGGTTGAGACATCCTTGTCCGATGAAACCCATAAGTTGATTTATTGTTGGGAGTGTAATACCCTGGATTGGAATCCAGTAATGCAAATTAACATGCATGTATGCATGCATGGTTTTGCTGATCCGAATATTGCATTGATAGGTCGGTCGCGTAATAATAAGGACACATTAGTACTAATCGTACTTTGGAAGTTGATTAAAATTAACACACACATATACGTATAGAGGTGATTAACATTAATTAACTAAGTCGTGCATGGCTCTTTCCATTAATATTAGCAAGTGCTGGCTATAGGTATACTTGCTTGATCGGCTTAATTTATTATAATGATTTTGATGTTATAAAGTTATAGCATATTACACTATATTTCTCAGTCCTTAATTTGACGCTTCATATAGTTGGATGCTTACCAATATAACGTTTGCAAAACAAAATAGCTTTCAAACTTTTAGGCATGCGTGTCTAGTAATTCCATTTTACTAAACGAATTTCGAAGCACTGTTTTGTAAAACAAGGATGATAAATGTAGTTTTGCAAGTTTATGTTCTAAAAATGCGTTTAATAGTTTAATCCGAAAAAAGATTTTATGAGAGAGAAAATATTGGAAATGTGTTTGGTACCCAATCTAAAATGGAAATTATTATTAAATTCGTGTTTGATTGAAATGTTTTTATAATATTAAATATTAACATGGTTGTGGTCGGTAATGTAGTTGCAACAATGATAGTGGTTGTGATGACAATGGTGGTCGGAGGTGTTGGCTGTAGTGAAAATGTTAATATTATTAATTAATGGTAGGGGGCTGTGGGTGGTGGCAAAAATTAAAGGGTAAAAAAAGTAAGAGTTAGTAACATTGATGGTTGGGAGGTAGTGGCCATAGTGGTGAAGACCATGGTGGTAGAGATGGTGACAAAAGTGATGGTGCTGGAGATAATGGTCACAATGGTCCGAGATGGTATGCATATGGTGGTCGTTATTGTGTCATAAATGGTGGTTGGGGTGTATGATTTTTTTTTCATTAACAAATTCTACGTTTGTTGTATACTACTTAATTTTATGTTTTTAGATTTTATTCTTGAAAAACATATAAACATCAATTTAAAGCTTTACATAACCTAAACCAAATATTGTATATTGTGTTCAAAACAACATGAACGCATTTTACAAACACTAATATATATGTAAAACGAAAACTCATGTTATAAAACGCTACCAAACAGACCCTTGTATATTTAAGCAAGTAAACTGCTAGTGCGCAATAAAAGTTCGTGAATAGAGTCAACTTACAATTTAGTGCAAGATCCCACTGATTTAATTTGGAAAAAGAAAAAAAACATAATTGTATTCTAGAATCTAGATAAATAACCACAAAGATTTATCGTTTCTATTTTGCAGAAACTTTACTAGATGCGTTAGGGGATTCAAGTAATTGCAAGACAACAGAACAATTGGATAAATTGCAAATATTTTTTCATGGGAAAAAAAAATATGATTATAGCATAATTAACCAAAAACAAAACTACAGAGAGTGGGGAGTAAAGGAAGTTGATGTTACACTGTGAAATTAAATAAAAGTAGGGAAATATCCTAAAATGGGATAATTTCTTAATCTTGGGATAAAAATATGACAAACCGACCATGCACAAGCCATGCATAAGCCATGCATACTATGCAAAAATTCGAAATTACTAAAATATCCACATATAAATGAGTTATTTCCTCCCATTTTTTTATTTCTCACACTCTCTCTCTCTCACTCTCTCTCTCTCTCTCTCTCTCTCAATTTCTTCTTCACGCACTCTCTCCCCTTTTCAATGTGCACACATGGTGCACTGTCATCCCAACCAACACCGTTCAAATCAAAGCCACCACCAATTTCATCTCGTCCTCACAAGTCCAAAACACCTAACCTTGTCATGAATCTCATCCCTGATCGTTGGGATCGAAACTCAAGCAGGTCGTGAGTTTTCCGGCCATTTTCTGGCGACACGACAAACAACCGAGGCTCGAGACTACCGCCACTGGACTCTCATCGAGGGTGGGAACAAAGCCCATTCATTAAATGTTGGTGTTTTGTTGGATGAAATTTTCAGGATTTGCTCATTGTATGTACACGACATGCACACGATATGCTCACATATCTGAGCCAACCCAAAAATCCAGAGCTCGCAGCTCTCCTTTCGAAATAAAAAAAAATGACGTTATCATTTGTGACATCACCACCATATACACTATATGCACACCACATGCACATCATATGTACAGTACATGCACATGATATGCACATAACTAGAGATTGAGCAACGGGCTACTTTTCGCATTAATGAGAAATGTTAACGGCAACCTATTAGCATAGTGGATGCAATTAAAACATAATTTTTACGTATATAAGGTTACATTGGCAGTTTGAAAGGTCTTGTTCTATATAACAATCACAGCTTAACCGTGCACATGGAAAACATGATATTCGTTGTCGTTATTTCATAGACACGAATGATCCTTAACGTCCTTTAAGCTTTTTCTTAATTTTTTTTTCACCGAGGCCAACTAGGTTGTGGTTATATTCGCTAAATTATGGGGCACAACATACGTGCATTATAACTAGTGAACATTCTCGCTTCTCATATTAAGATGTTGCCATACACACCATATGCACACCACATCCACATTACAGAAAAGTTTTCACAAATTTCTGCAATTGGACACTTGAACTAGAAATTGTTCCATTCCAATTTTGTAGCATGTCAAAACTAGAAATTTATTCCACAACTCATAGGCCCAACATGAAACACAAACACTAATTTAACTTCTAAGTATTAGTTCATCTTACAAACAACTCATTTATTCCATAAATCATTGATGAAGGAACTTGGAACTAAACACCCTACCTTACTATGCCTGCCAAAGCTTTAGTCGTCGAAAAAAATGGTTTTTTCTAGCCAAAATATAAAATATGGTACAAAACCCAACTCTCATCTCACCTCTCTCTCGCATCCCTTTGTTCGAAATCAGAGGTATGGGGTCAACCCAAAACCCAACTCACTCTTCTCACCTCTCTTTGAACTTCACTCTCTTCGAAATCAGATGAATTAATACTTAGAAGTCAAATTAGGGTTTGTGTTTCATGTTGGGGCCTATGGGTCGTGGAATAAATTTCAAGTTTTGATGTGCTACAAACTAAGATGGAACAATTTTTTGTTCAAGTATCCAATTGCAGAAATTTGTGAAAATTTTTCTGTAACGTGCATATGGTGTGCATGGCTACATCTTAATATGAAAAGCAGGAATGTTCACTAGTTATTGATGCACGTATGTTGTACCTCGAAATTTAGTGAGTATGACCACAACCTTGTTGGCCTCGGCGAAAAAAAAAAATTAAGAAAAAGCTTAGAGTATGTTAAGGATTATCCGTGTCCATAAAATAACAACACCGAATATCAATTAAACATTGACTGATATATACGTAACAAAGCCGTTTAAACTGCCACTATAACTTTATATAGGTAAGGAAGTCTGGTGTTACTTAGAATTTCGCTGGAACATTTATAACAAAGATATTTTACCAAATAAAATACTCATATAATGACTCTTGGAAGGTTTAAAATCGTGATCTTCCAAGTAAAACATTTTCACTTATCAAGTCAACTACATCAATTTAATTATACATTATTATGTTTTATAATATTTATATTATTGGCAGAGAATGATGAATGACTGCAAGTCACTGTTCAATAATGACATCAAAATAATATCATTAACGGTAACTTTTTACTTTCAAACATATTTTTGGTTAGAGTTATTGATATTTTAGAGATTTTGAAAGAAAAAAAAAATTCAAATTTAAATATTTTCTAAAAATACATATCTTATGTTCCTTAGTAACATAAAAGTGAAGCCGTTTTTAGCAAAATAGCCTGTGCATGTAAACTAAAGGCCACAATTGCTAGGCACAATGATATTTTCTTGTTTATTGAGTGTCTTAGTTATCCTTAACAAACATTACCCGATGTATTTCACATGCATATACAATTAAAATAGATTACATCATGTGTTTGGTTGGTATAAATATTAATGAAAAGTAATACATATCACAAGTGGTTGCTTAACGTAGTGGTACGAGTTGTTCCTTTTATCATGTATATGCACTAAA